CATGCAAACACAAAGTGACTGACAGCGATTACTCTGACTCTTCCCCTGTGGGGGTTCTGGATAGCAGTTGGCACGCAGATGGCAGCCCTGTCCTGACGATGCTCATGATGAGATGAAAATTACATGATCATGGTAGGTGGGGAGCAGAGCAGAGGTGCTGGACCTCATGATGACAGACAGCAATCCTAACGTTTTGCCATGAGATGATATTTATTCCACCTTGAAAGAAGACCTTTTTGCTTCTACCTCTTTGAATAACAAAGTGCATGGGTAGTGATGGACTTGGGAAATCACAGCCCAAGTCACTCCTGAGGAATGGCATGCTGAGATACCCTTTCAAGAATCTTCTACTGAAATGCGCTTAGTAAAATTATTCTGCTAATGAGCACAATCCTTTAACATCCTAATGACAGGGGTGGTGGAGTTAATCCTGAAATTAAGTCTGCGTATTTCCTTCCTTCCCCTCTTCTTCCTTTTTTATCCTATGATCATTATCCTAAAGCCTCAGACTTTGAAAGGAGCTCCAAGGGCATCTACTCCACCTCCTGGCCCCTCGTAAGAAACCCCTCGCTGGCATCCCTGGCAGGTGGTTTTCCAGACTTTGCTTAGACATCAGCAATGCCACGTACACTGCCTATATGGTCTTGCAGAAATCATAGTCTCTCTGCCCTCCTTTTACAGATAACTAAAGGGGCCTGGACTAAATGACCCAAATGAATTAAATGAGTTGCCTGAATTACTAATCACCTAATCTGTGAAAGACACTTTGCTAAACTCTGGGGATATGAAAACAAAAACAGAAAACTTCTTGCCCTCAAGGAGTTTACATCCTGGTTTATCCTTCAGGCCTCTTGGAAACATTTTTTGGTGTTGAATAGTTTTCTAGTTCTGTCTGGCTCTTCACGACCCCATTTGGGGTTTTCTTGGCAAAGATACTGGACTGGTTTGCCATTTCCTTCTCCAGCTCATTTTACAGATGAGGAAACTGAGGCAGACAGGGTGAAGTGACTTGCCCAGGGTCACACAGCTAGTAAGTGTTTAAGGCTAGATTTGAACTCAGGAAGGTGAGCCTTGCTGACTTCAGGCCTCTATCCACTGCACCACCTAGTGGCCTGGAAACATATTTACTGCTGTTTCAAAGAAGGCATTTTTGTCCCTGGTTTATCTGATATGGCAGAAATTCTAAGCTATATCTTAGTTTTTCTCTTTGATCTCCTGCCTTTTGTGCAATAAGAATAAAAATAAAATAATTAGGATCATTGATCTAGAACTAGAAGGAACCCCAGAGGATATCTAGTCCAATCCTTCTAATTTCCAGATGGGGAAACTGAGGCCCAGGGATGTTAGGTGACTTGTCTAAGGTCACACAAGTAGTAATCAGGATCTGAACTCATATCTTGTGACTCTAGAGCTCTTTCCACTTTATCTCCCTTGGAGAAATTTTGTTTCTTTTGGCATTGCTGCAGATCCTGAGGAGGGAGTTGGACTCAGAGGCAGCTAAGTGTGTGCAGTGGATAGAGCGGCAGCACTGGAGTCAAGAGGACCTGAGTTCAAATCCAGCCTCAGACACTAGCTGTGTGATCCCGGGCAAGTAGCTTAACCTCAAAAAAAGAAAAAAAAGGAGTGAGAGACACTTGAGTATCTACTTACTTTTCTATTTCCCTGGAACTCACTATCCCCTCTAAGTAAGCATATGTGAGCATTTCCTAGCTATTAGGGTTTCTGGGATTGGGCAGGAGTCATCAGTGGAGATGAACACTAACGCCCCTGCCAAGTCCTTCATCCTATAATCTCCAGTGCTAAGAAACGAGTAGCTGGGCCTGCTCTGTTCTCTCGCAGCTCTGACAGTAAGCTTGTCCTGCTGTTTTGTTGAAATATGCTTACCTATTAACTCCTCCACAATCTCCACTGGTCCTGGTTCATTCATTCCCTAATGCAGTACATACTTTTAGGCACCTAGTACAAAGACCGCATGATTTCCTGGGGATATTTCTACTACTAATAGCAATAACAACAACAATAATAATAGCTTACATATATGTGTGTGTGTGTGTGTGTGTGTATACATATATATATATATATACACACACATACACATATAGATAGATATTTAATTCAATTTAGCTCTTAAAGCACCCTAAGTCTACAAAAGGAATTAAAAGACACTTGGACTTAAAGCTGATTATTGTCTTGTTGGGGAGACAAAACAAACATAAGACAAGGCGAAGGTAAAATAGAAACAAGATGGGGCTTGTTATTGTCACAAATTCTAGGTTGGAGTTTTCACTTTTCCTCCCTGACAAGAGTAACTGCATAACGTTGGGCAAGCTCCTTCCCATTCCCAAGCCAAAGTTTACTTATCTGCAAATAGTTCCTACCCTGTGTTTCTCAGAAGAGTGTGGTGGTAAGCATTTAACAACCGGCTTGGGGGAGGGGGGGAAACATCCCCATGACACAATTATAAGTTTGATCTGCATTATTAACATTTTCTCCACCACTTTCTTAAGTTCAGACGATCAACAAAACAATCAGCCCGGCTCTGATTTGTTACTTTTGCCGATTTCCAAGGTGTAAATGTTTACACTGAAAATTTAACAACCGGCCCACATAAGCCACTGTGAGATGGGTCCAGCATGCTTCTGCTTGTACAAGTGCAACAGCATAATAGATCTGAGAACACTCCGTAAGCATTTGCACTGCATAAATGGGATTAATTGCTAAATAGTATAAGAAACAACTAAAAATGATAAGCATGTTGAAGTAGATACAGCACAGATGCTTAGATACACCCAGAGCACTACCAAGCAAGGAAGTAGTCTGCACTCAAGAGGAAGTAAGGGGAAGCTTCTTGGAGGAGGCCTGGATTGAGGGAAGCATTAGCTATGGATCAGGTCAGCTGTGGTGTGTTAAAATGGCCATGCACCATGAAGGCAAATTCCATCCTTCTTTGCAGATGTTGGAGACAATGGGTATGGAAGCCTGCATATAATGGCAGACTTTTAAAATGTATCAATTAGTTTTGTTGAATTGTATTTTTCACTTGTCTATACATTGTTATAAAGGATGGATTTCTGGGAGATATTGGGAAATGTAGGTAACATAAAAATAAAAGATACCAATAAAATTATTTTTTAAAATATGGCTATGCAAGGAATGAACTTTCTGCCTCTCTTGATAACTCTTGATGATTTGAAAGCAGCTAACCCATGAGTCAGTCTTGCCATGATTCTCTGTGCTGGCATTCATCTTTTTTATGGCACAGTAATTAATGTTCCATTACATTCACATATTATAACCTCCTTAGCTATTTTTCAGTCAATGGACATCTACTTTGAACTGGTAAGAATGATATAGAACATATAATCAAGAGGTTCTTAACCTGGGATCTGCGAATTTTTTAAAAAAAATTCAATTTCATTAGTTTTCTTTCTAACACTATTATTTTATTTTATGTATTTAAAAACATAATTCTAAGAAGGGATCCTTATACTTCATCAGATAGCCAAAGGTGTCCACCACACAGAAAAGGTTAACAATCCTTGGTCTAATCTGTACCAGTTCTTTTGCAGATGAAGGAAACTGAGGTCCAGAGAAATTACTTTAGGTCACACCACAAACACGTCAGGATAGCAACTCAGTCATTCTGACCAAAACTCAAAACAATGTTTTCTAACTTCCAGTGCAACATGAATTTCTTGAGGTCAAAGCCTATTTTCAATTTTGTTTTTGTATCATCAGCACCAAGCTGAGTGTCTGGTGCCTAGCAGGTGTCTAATAAATGCTTGGTGAATTGAATTCACTTTAAATTCAGTGCTTATTCTACCATGGAACCATTACCTATTTAATTTATTGTAATGTGGAACACAAAATGATTTCTCCCCTCCAGGGAAAAAAACAAAAAAGCTGAATCTTCTTACTTTTTATGTACAATAACAAAAAAGGGAACAAACACTCATCTTACCAGATCAGAGAGAAATTTCAAACTTTAGCATTCTCAAGGGAACCCTAGACTAACTCTCACAGAGGAGCAGGAATCATGGATAAAGAAAAATGAGGCAGAGCAGGGCCCATCCCAAAGCCCCCTGTTACTGAGAAACAGCTTTCACTCAGACCACAAACAGGAAATTTGTTTCAACAAACTGCAGAGTTTCACAGTACCTCAGCAGGAGTTTTAATAACATGACTGAGATCTCTCTGGGGTGCCTGAGAATAAGGTTGTCCCCTGCCTGAAATGCCCTCCCTATTTCAATATATTTTGCCAAGTCCACCCCTTCTTTCAAGGCTCTGCTCAATTTCTAGCCCGACCAGATCTTCTATGACTACCTTTTCCACTAAAATCAACAGTTGGAATGAATAGAAATTTCTTTCCTATGTTTGGAGGCAGCTAGGTGGCTTGGTGGGCCTGGGGTCAGGAAGACCCGAGTCTGCATCTGGCCTCAGACACTTAATAACTGTGGGACCCCGGGCAAGCCTGTAACCTCTATTTGCCTTAATCCACTGGAGAAGGAAATGGCAAATCACTCTAGTATCTTTGCCAAGAAAAACCCGTGGACAGTATTAGTGTGCTATGGTTCACAGGGTCACAGAGTCAGATGTGACTGAACAAATGAACTAGCTAAGGTCTTCTCTATCAGGGTTTCCAGGATGCCAACAACTGGAAGGAAAGCCCCACTCACCTGTCATAATATTTTAGTCACAATCTCTCTCAGCCCGTTTCCTCATGTGTAAAGATGGGAATTATCATGGCAACTACCTTGTAGGGTTGTCACAAGGCTCCAATGAGTCTTAGAAATGTAAAACATTTTGCAAAATGTAAAGTGCTATATTGTTACTGATGTACATATCATTCCCCTTTCCTCTCATCCTCAATGAGGGAGTATAAGTAGGACAGAGAAAGAGTTTAGGACAGGCATTAGGCTCCCCCCTATGGCCCTTGACCAATCTGATTCCACCATTTCCTAGCCTGAGTTTTGTTTTATTTTGTTTGATTTTTTTTTCAGCCCTAGTGACTCAGGAAGACTATGAAGGCTTGGAGGAATTCTTAACCAAGTAGATGGAAGGTACGATCACTGGTGGGAGACAGGGACAGAGACTGCCTGCACACCTGTAGACTTGGGTCACTACCGGTGAAGTCACAATCCTTTAAATACATTCTAATTTAGGTTATGCTCATTTGTATACTTATGTTTGACTTCCATCCTGCTCCCTCTTTCTCTTTGCTTTCTGAGGATGTGTCTTCTGACAGAGTGATCCTGAGTTCTCAAAAATTATGCCAGTAAAGTGTGAACTCCTGTAGTTTCTACCAAGCTGGAGAACACTTTGAATGATGAATGGTGTCCATTTTCTGTGGATCATCTTAGCTAACGCCAAGTTGACTGCAGGTCTTTGACTTTTTCAACCACAATTTCTTTCAAAGTCCACTTAGTAAATTCAGAGGAACTGCCATCTGCTTTAGGAGGGAGACTGTCTACACTGAACAAATATTTGATATTTGAACCTACTTGTGTAATTTCACTCTAGTAGAATGTAAGCTTCTTGGGGACAGGAATCCTGCATGATTTCTCTTGGTGCATATCCCCAACAGAGCAGGCTGATCTGCATTCAATAAGCATTCAAGAAATGTTGCTAAATGAATGAATGAACTGAGCTCACCCTCGTACATATAACCCTGGAAGTGGAAAATAATCCCTGAGTTGTCCTCAGAAATTTTTTTTCTGCTTGTTCACCCTTCACAGTAATCAAGGCATCCTGAAGGAAAGTGGTGAGACAGCTTGATAATTTAAAGGTGAACAGCTGAGATTTATAGACAAGGAGGAAATCACACTGTAAGGCCGCTATTGACCTTGTAAAAGGTGAGAGTGACAGGTTAATATGTCCAACACAGCAAGCACTTACTTGAGGAGTGGTAGGCTGGTACAGGGGCTAGCTTTGAAGTAAACAACAGCAACAACAACAAAAGCTGCTTCCATTTCAAAGAGCTTGCCTCGTTCTTATCGGTCTTTTTTGATAATAACAGGACACATTGCTTTACACTTTGCAAAGTAGTCTGTAAGTATTTTTCTCTCCACTGCCATGGAAAGTAGAGAGTAAAGGCAGAGTTGTAGATTTGGAATCAAAAAGACTTGAGTTTTGATCCTCCCTAACTAGCTGTGTGTCTGAGCAAGTCATTAAATTTCTGTGGACCTGTGTTTCCTTACCTATAAAATGAGAGGGTTAGACTAAGATTCCTTTCAGCTCTAGATCAGTAATCCTATCTATGATCTCATTCCCATGTCACAGAGCAGGAAATGGGCTCAGACAGAACACTACAGGGCTACAGAGTTAGGGTTAGGAGGGACCTTAAAGGCCATCTAACTTAATCGCCTCATTTTACAGATGAATTTTTCCTAATGTCACGCTGGCAGTATGTAGCAGAGCCAATACCGGAATTCAGGTCTTATGTCTTCAGACTCAATGCACTTTTCACTGTACTGTGCTGAGTATTAGAGCCAGGTCACAGTATCAAAGATTCTGAGTTGGAGGAGACTTGGAGGGTCAGTAAGACCAATCCACTCATTTTAGAAACAAGGAAACTGAGGCCCAGAAAGATTAAGGGACTTGGCTAGAGTCACTCTACTAATAAGAGTCTGAGGCAGGATTTGAACCCAGGGTCTTCCTGAATTGATTGTAAACCTGATGCTTTTTCTTCTGCAGAAAGCTGGCTGGACAGGCTCTTGGAAGGTTATGACAACAATTCCATTTCCACTCTCAGAGACTTAGAATTTCTGCATTGGAATGGATCTCAGAGGTCATCTTGTCCACTTCCCTGCCAGAAGCAGAAATCCCCTCTTACAACATCTCAATTGGTGGTTCAACCTTGCTTGAATACCTCTCATGCCAAGAAACTCACTGTATACCATTACAAAGAAGTACTCTTTATAACTAAGCTATTTCCTTACCTCTATTGGGAGATATGACATATCTCCCAACCACCATCCTTCTAATATGAGGACAACTCAAATAAAGCTATTTGGGTCGGCCTTGGGAGGAATCTTTTCAAATTAAGTAATTCCCAAGTGATAGCTATTGACTTTGATTCCTGACTCAGCCCACTTGCACAACCCACAGACGGTTAAGGGAGCCCACAAGTTCTCCTTCACTGGATGTCTTCAAGCAAGAACTGAACAACCATGCCATATCACGTTGTACATAGCATTCTTGATCACATCTAGGATGTTCCTTCTAAACCAGAGATATGGTTGCTCTGAAGCTGCATGTCATGAAACCTTAGCTAGCTACAGTTTCCTTATCACTAAAGAGGAAATAAGGATATTTGTACTTCCTTCTCAAAGAGGAATGAAGAAAATGCTTTGTGAGCTCAAAAGTGCTCCATGATAATAACTCACATTTACATCACCTCCCCTTTTCCCCTATTGGGTTTAGAGAATTTTATTTTTGTTGCTAGTTTATGTGTTCCAGAGGGGATCTGTTTCATCACCAAAGTCTGTAGCCTGTGGATATTGCTTCTAGAAAGGAGTTCAGGTTCATTGCAGCACAAATGGACATGACTTGTAGACATTATAGTATGATATATAGTGAAAATTGAGCTGGACATGAGGTCAGGTCATTTGGCTTGTAATCCTGACTCCCACACTTCTCAGTTATAAGACCATCAGCAAGTCACAAATACTGGGCCTCACTTTCCTCATCCATAAAAGGATTCCATAAGGATATGGTGAGGAAAGTGCTTTGTTAAACCTCCAAGTGCTAAGATTATAGTGGAATTTTTATCTGTATTATCCTTACCATCTCCAATCTTCTTTGCCTACTAAAAAACATTTCAAAACATTCCTTGATTGTAGGAGCCCAAGACATTTCTTAGTTTTAGCACAGACTTGGTAAATTGGGTCTTTAAGTCTCTTTGGGGTTCAGGAACTCAATGGCTGGGTTTCTCCTCCACTTGTTCTTCTCTGTTGACTCCCCCAAACTGGCCTTTGGCCTATACATCCCACTTTTCCTGACTGAAGCTTAGGGACATTTGATTCTTTGTTCTGGCTTATAAACTAGGCTCCCTAGTGTTTCTCTTGGTATTTGGGAGATGGCCTCCATTCTCTATCCATTTAGTTGGACATGTGGTATTACGATCATTTGGCTTTGACTCAAGAATTTAATTATTCAGAATTCCTAAGGGTACTTGGCTCCTATGTCCATCCCATGTCACTATACTCATGGAATACATTATCTTCTGGTCTTCCTCTAGGCTGAAGGCGTTTAGTCAGGACATTTGGTGATATACCCCTGACATGTCCTCACCATGATACAGTGAATAGAGAGCTGACCATGGGTCAGAAGGACACAGGGTTCAAGTCCTTTACCTGACACATATAGCTTGTATGGTCCTGGACATGTCATTTAAGCTTCTAGTGCTCTAGGTAACTCTAGGACTATAAATAGCTGACAAACTATTGATCTGCCTTGGGAGAGGGAGTTTCATTACTGACTACTTCCTTCACAAGTGAAATAACAGGTCTAGTTCAAAATGATGCCCCTGATAGAATTTAGGGAAAAAATAGGATTGGACATCTTTTGTTTTAATATTATCTTCAATTCTGAGTACATCCCTTCCTGTTTCCCTATCATTGTAACAAAGAATTAAAAAAGAGAAAAAAAAGTATTTCAGCAAAACCAACAGATTAGCTGAGTTTTACAATACATATGATATTCTACACTTATGGTTCCCCACCTCTGCAAGAAAGGGAGATGAATTTCTTTCATTCTACTCTAGAGCCAGGCTTCTGGGTCACTATAATCACATGGTGTTTGATTTCATTTTTCGTTCCTTCCATTTTTATTGTAGTCATGATAATTCATTGTATATTCATGACTCTTCTCTAAGAACCCTTTCATACTCCCCCATTGGTGATGATTTTGTCTTTTCCTTTCTCCCAGGATCTTTAATAGGAGTGGTGTAACAAAAGAATTACTCAATTGCTGTCAAGGAGCCCTCTGTCCAACTTATTATCTGGGTCACTTTTCTATACTTTACTTTTCTACAAAACTAAGGGGTTGGAATCAATTTCTAAGGTGCCATAAAATTCTGATATTTAGAATTCTGTGTTCTAGGTTCTGAAGTTCTATGTTCTAAAAGGTCTCTTATAGTTCTGACATTCAGTCTTCTAAAGTTTTTTCCAACTTTAACATCTTAATTTTTGTTCTTGAGTTAAGTCCTATCTAACTCTTCATGACCCCGTTTTGGGGTTTTCTTGGCAATGATACTGAAGTGGTCTGCCATTTTCTTCTCCAGCTCATTTTACAGATGAGGAAACTGAGGCAAACAGGATTAAGTGACTTGGCCACAGTTACACAGCTAGTAAGTGTCTAAGGCCAGATTTGAACTCAAGAAGACAAGTCTTCCCAATTCCAAGCCCAGTGTTCTATCTACTGCACCATCTCACTGCCCTAACATTCTATTATGCTAGTGAAGTTAATTTGTTTTATTATTTTTATTAGAATTATCTATGTCTGAGTCTTATTCCACTAATGAAATTCAGCTGAGGGCAGTGACTTATCTTTCTTAAATCTGAAAATGTCCTAGTGCTTAGCTCACTACTCTGCACATAGTAAATGTTTATTGAATTGACAAGTTGAATTTTTCAAGTTCTCAGGTTTTGTTTTCCTTTTTCTTTTTGTCACATTTGGAGAATCAATATCACATCTTGTTTTGGTCTACTTGGCCAAGTCAACAAAAACTCTTTGTATCTGAATTGCCATTAAATGAGACATTGGGTGAAATATGGCAGATAGATGGGGCCAACGTAATGCATCCCCATTTGCCTCATGCTTAGAGGAGGAAAATGAGGACAATAATAATTACTCACATTTCTATGTCAGCTTAAGGTTTACAAACTGTTTTCCTTACAAGAGCACTATGATATGGGAAATACAAGCAGAGTTACTCCCATTTTACAAATAAGGGAGAAAAATGTTAAGTGACTTGCCTAAAGTCATGCATTCAGTACCAGGGCTAGCACACTGAGCCTGGCATTACTCCCATGACATAATGTAACATGTCCTTACTGGTATTAATTTTTGTAAGGAAAATGCCTTATAACCTAATTTTTGTAAGGAAAATGCCTTATAATCTCCAAAGCCCTAGAGAAGTGGGAACTCTTATACAGATACTGTGTGAAATTGGAGTTCACAAAATCAAAGGTCTTTGAGCTGGAAAGGACCCTAGGAAACATCTAGTCTAATTCCTTCATCTTAAATTTGGGGAAATGGAGTTCAGGAGAGGGCAAGTGCCCTGCCATCACCTAGGTAGCAAGCTGTTTTGGGAGAGGAGAAGAAGAGAAAGACAGACACAGAAAGAGGAGAGAAGAGAGAGAAGCAGAGAGAGAGGAGGGAGAGGGCCAGGATTGGGATCTAGCTTCACTAATGAGTAGCATACATAAAAAGAGTCACAGATTTCACGCCAGCAAGAATTTGGGAAGCATTTAGATCTTTGAATTTGAGAAGGCTGACATTTAAAGAACAACTCACTTCTCTAAGGGAAAGAGCCAGGCATCTGTCCATGGGTCCACTATGCATTTTATTCAACAAACATTTATTAAGCATCTCCTACATGCAAAGTCCTATGTGAGATGCTAGAGAATACACAAAGATGAAAAATGACCTAACATCTACTCTTGAGGAGTTTATACCCTGGGCATGGAGGGAGGGTGAGACAAATATACAAATGACTTCAACATAATTGAGTGTGATAAATGTAAAGAAAATAGCCATCAAAGGAGTGAGGGAGTGGAGAGCAGGTTTAGAAAAACTTTGGAATGGAAACCTCACCAGGCCGTATCTGTTGAAATTCTCTTTTTCCTTCAAAGCCCAGCCCAGGTGCCACCTCCTCCAGGAATCCTACCATGGGTTTCCCCAAAAGGTATGAAGAAATTTGAAATTTAGAATGAGGGAGAACATGGTAGGATTCCTGGAGCAGGTAGTACCTGAGCTGGACTTTGAAGGAAGGAGAGAATTTCAACAGACACGGCGTGGAGAAGATTTCATTCTAAGCATAGGGAGCTAAGTGAGAAACTACATAAAGCCAAGAAAAGCCAGAGTGAGACTGAGGAACAACCAGTAGTCCAGATTGGCAGAAAGTAGAATGAACAAAATAGGAATGGTATGTTATAAGGTTGGAAAAGTTATTTGAAAGACAGTGAATACCAGGCTAAGGAGTGCACAATGTGGTACAGCGATAGAGTGACGGGCCTGGAGTCAGAAAGACTCATCTTCTCGAGTTCAGCTCTGGCCTCAGACACTTTCTAGCTGTGTGACCCTGGGCAAGTCACTTAATCCCATTTGCCTCAGTTTCCTCATCTGTAAAATGAGTTGGAGAAGGAAATGGCAAACCATTCCAGTATCTCTACCAAGAAAACCCCGAATGGGGTCAGGAAGAGTCAGACATGACTGAAATGACCAAACAACAAACAACAACAACTACACTACCACTACCACCACCATTTTCCCATAGATAATGGAAATTATTTAGACAGCAAAGTGAAGGATGGATTGCAGAGGCGGGGAGAGAAGATAGGGAAACCAGTTAGGGGGCTGTTATATTGGTGCAAGTGAGCAAAGATGTGTCCTGGCAGGGGTGTGAAGGAAGGGACTGAAGAAACAGCTTGTGTTCCTTTGGAAACTCCCCAATGCCTGAGCATCCCAGGGAATGCCCCTGCCTGATCCTGAGGGAGTTATCCCATCCTCCCTCTGACCCCCATCTCTCACTGGACTCAGCAGGTTCCCTTCATGTTCAGTAAAGATGTTGCTGCTACTTTCTTGATGGCCACTCATGAAGGGGAAAGTGGACTGCGGAGCCAGTCTTGCCTACAAAAGCTTACTTAAAGCACTGGACTCAAAGGGGAATAAATTTTCCTTTAAAAGGACCATAAATTAGAGTGGGGGTCAATAGTGAGAGAGTCACAGACAGCACT